CGAGGTCATGGACGAGAAGGAACTCGACGCACGCATTCGATGTCTTCCGCCCGCGTACGGAACCCGGCACTTCAAGAACGGAATTTCCGCACTTTCACAGGTGTCCGGGAGCGAGCGCAAAGACATGGCTCGTATCCTTTTGGGGTGTCTTGTAGGTCGTGTCCCTAGCGCCATCATCCACACCTTCCGCGCGCTCCTCGATTTCATTTATCTCGCGCAGTATCCAACTCACGACGAGACGACCCTGTCGTACATGGACAACGCATTGAAGACTTACCACAAGCACAAATCGATCTTGAAGACCCTCGGCATCCGTGAGCACCTCGACATCCCCAAATTCCATTCACTCCATCACTACATCGACTCTATTCGAACCTCGGGACGACGGACAACTACAATACCGAAATGTTCGAACGGCTGCACATCGACTGTGCGAAGAAGGCGTGGCGAGCTTCCAATCATCGCGACGCACGCCCTCAGATGGTCAAGTGGTTGGACCGCCAGGAGAAGATATCGATGTTCGAAACGCTTCGCCAGAGGCTTCGAGAGGACTCTGGCAACACCGACGACTCTGGTGTCGCTCCAGAAGCCCACTCGCACCGACCCAGAACCGGTCTCATGATGCCCAAGCATCCATCTGTCGTCCAGCAACCCATTCAGTCGATCGCCGACAGACACCACGCTCGCGGTTCACCAAAGCCCTGAATCAATATATATATTCGCTCAAACTCGGCCGTCGACTTACGCCTAAGGAACTGGACATGGCAAGTTCATACCTACCATTCACCCGTCTCGACGTATTCCACAACTTCAAATTCACAACAATTCCACTCACCGACACTCAGCCAGAACGCGACGCTGTCAAGGCCAAACCGGCTTGCGGAACAGACGCAGCAAGGTTCGACACCGTAGTGGTTTTACAAGGCGACGAGGCGGAGGCAACGGGGCTCCAAGGTGAGTTCAGAATACGTATTCATGCTTACATTTCATACTTACACACTACTGACTGGGACTAGGTACGAGAATTGGGAGGGTGAAGGTGATCTTCCGCTTACCTCAGAAGATACGCCAGCATGGGATGATGGCGGAGATGCAGGCACCGGAGGAATGGGCTCACGAAGGTCCGTTGGCTTACGTCGAATGGTTCGCTAAGCTCCCGGCCTCAGCGGACCCCGTACACATGATGTACGATGTCCAGAAGATGCCGCTGAGAGCAGACGGGACTTCAGCGGGGGAGATCGTGCCTTTGAGAACGATCCGTCAGTCTTGTCAATTGATTCCGAAGTTTCCAAAGCCTACATCCATCGACTTACCTGCACAAGTACCACAAGACTGGAGCTCGGATACGGTACTTGACAAGGCCAGTAAGTTTCTATTGAACAACTGGAGTAGTAAATACTCGTATCAGACAATATGGTAGCCTTACGATAATGATTGCGTTGTACACTACAAGATCATTAAGTACTACAACCGTCAAACACTTGGACTACTCTGGTACTCATGCATCGGAATACCGAGCTATATTGAACTCCCGTCCGTTCGTCCGCCCGGTCATTTATCCGCCCGGTCATCCGTCCGTCCACTTCTCCCTCCGCCTGATCATGTGTCCACTCGCCCCGCGCGTCCACCTGCGCATCAACTTGCTCTGCGCGAGGTTCGTGACTCGCCTCTTCCCAGCGGGCCTTCTGTCGCCCATGCGTCAGCTGTACGCACGCCCGCTTGCTTGACCCCTTCCGAGGCTTCTGCGTCGCCATACCCCGAGCGTGCTGACTTATATCCCCTCCAGTCTCCCTCCGCCGCCACCATTTGTCGCCCACCGCCACCGCGCCTCTCTGTGGCTCCGTCTCGACGCTCTGTTACTATCCCATCATGGCTGCTGTCTCAGGTCCCTCTGCCGCCCGCCACCCCTCGCCTTTCCGGAGAGCGAGCAAGATTACCTCAAGACCGCCGCCAGCGCCGTCTAGTGGAACCAGCGGGCATAGCGCGCACCATGGCATTGTGAGTAACCCTTCTGACGTAGCAACCTAACCGAACACTAACAGTACTCCTCCAGCCTGACCCGTACTACGGCCACGAAGAGACCGCCAAGCTCTGCGCGAGGTTCGTGACGCATTTGTTTGCGTGCCCCGACCTCCTCCGTTATCCACCGCCAATCCGCCAGCACCGTCGCGCCCCTCGCATTGTTTATCGCCTACGCCCACCATAGAATGCGACTGCACACCTCGGTGACATTCGCCGCCCTCTACCTCCTACAACGCCTAAAAGCGCGGTTCCCCGCCGCCCGCGGCTCGTCGGGCCACCGTCTCTTCATCTCGGCCTTCATGATCGCGTCCAAGGTTATCTGCGACGAGACCTATTCCAACAAATCGTGGACCGTCGACGGCCAGGGTATGTTTGCCCTCCGCAAAATCAACCAAATGGAGCGCGAGATGTGTTCGTACCTCGGGTGGCAACTCAACATTGAGCCAGCAGCGTTGAAGGAGTTCGAGGCGAAGGTGCGGAGGGACTTCAAGGGCCAAGGGCCATACCCCACGTACGTGCTCCCCTCGCCTGCGCTGACACCAGTACTGTCGACACGCCATACGGCACCACGTCGGCCATCACCCCGAGCTTCGCAGTGCGTCCGTCGACGTCACCACCGAAGCCCACCCCCATGCCTGTCGACGCCAGCACGGCGTACCCAAGTCCGCCCACGAGCCCCGACACACTCGACACGCCCGAGCAGTCGTACTTGACCTCGACGAGTCCGGCATCGTCCGCATCGCCGTCGACGCCACCGGGTTTCGTCGACGCGAACATCCGCATCGCCTCGCACAGCACCCACGGGACACCCCACGCCATCGAGCAGGAGTCCGTCGCCGCCGTTGTGCCGCCGCCGATGCAGAAGCAAACGGGCCGGTCGCTGTCGAGGTCGAACACCTTCGACTCGTTTCCCGCCAAGGGCTCGCCCTCAATATCCGACGCCATCTCGACCGACCGCGCCTCGACGACGAAGAAGGCGAAGGGCCAGGACTGGTACGCCCACGCGACGCCGTGCGTGTGGTAGCCTGTCCTGCGACGACAGCCGCCTCTCGCTGTGTTTCTCGCCCACACCCTCCATAGAATGCGACTGCACACCTCGGTGACGTTCGCAGCCCTCTACCTCCTCCAACGCCTAACAGCGCAGCTTCCCGCCGTGGATCGTCGGCGATCGTCGGGCGCGTTCCAGTCATCTTTGACGATACCTACTCGAACAAGTCATGATCATGAAGCATCGACGGCCAGGGACCGGCAGCGCTGAAGGAATGCGAGGCGAAGGTGCGGAGGGACTTCAAGGGCCAAGGGCCATACCCCACGTACGTGCTCCCCTCACCTGCGCCGACACCAGTACCGTCGACGACGCCATACGGCGTATGGCCACGTCGACCACCACCCCGAGCTTCGCCGCGCGTCCTTCGACGTCGCCACCGAAGCTCACCCCCATGCCTGTCGACGCCAGCACGGCGTACCCAAGTCCGCCCACGAGCCCGACACGCCGACACGCCCGACAGTCGTACTCGACTCGACGAGCCGCATCGTCCGCATCGCCGTCGACGCCACCGGGTTTCGTCGACGCGAACATCCGCATCGCCTCGCACAGCACCCACGGGACGCCCCACGCCATCGAGCAAGAGTCCGTCGCCGCCGTCGTGCCGCCGCCGATGCAGAAGCAAACGGGCCGGTCGCTGTCGAGGTCGAACACGTTCGACTCTTTTCCTGAGAAGGGCTCGCCTTCAATACCCGACGCCATATCGACCGACCGCGCCTCGGCGACGAAGAAGGCAAAGGGCCAGGACTGGTACGCCCACGCGACGCCGTGCGTGTGGTAGGCCCGTCGCGCGCCATGATATCTCTATTTCCCATGCTTGCTTTCCTCCAACCGGCCGCCGCGTCGTTGCTCGCGCGGGCGGCCGTCGTCGCTCATTATATCGGACACCGTGCTCTCGCATAGGACCTCTTGCATCCGGTTCGTGGTGCGTTTCTCTTCTTCGTCGCTCTCGCATTGCCCCGCCCGCTCTCATGCCTCTGCTGCCGCGAACTCTTCATTTGTGCATTGTCTCCAACCTTGTTACGCATGTTCGTCTCCTATTACCTGTCCACGATATTTGCATGCACTGTATCAATACCATACAAAGTACCTTATCTATAGTTGTACATGGCAGCTTAGGGCTCTCCACTATAGGGTCTTGCGTCTTCCGTTATATAGGTGAACATAGGCTGGCCGTAGTGTTAACGCGCTCACGAAAATATAATGAAGCTAAAACACTGCAATTCCTTTCACTTGTGTGATCTTTTGAGTGCGCTACTTATTGGAATACATTGAACTGCACTATCGAGCAGGCGAGCGAGCGAACGTCGACGCCAGTGGACTTTGTCGTCTACTCCCATCTTGCCGCCCACGTCCGAACATCTCTGCGTTCTCCTCCCAAGTCTTTTCCTCCACCTCTCTCTGATCAACAGCTCGGTCGCTGACTGCAAAACCGGGCTAATCCAACTACAGTCATCGCCGTTCCACCCGCACCGACCGATCGCTCTCTCCGACGTCCCTAGTCAAGCAAATCTCTTCCTTCTGACGGGTATATGCGTGCTCTCGCGCCACCGCTCGCAGTGCCGTCCGGAAGCTCACGATCGGGGAGGTAAACGTTCACCAACGAGGCCTTTCCGCTCCGGGTCGCGCCCGCGACCCCTGGACCGCGCGCAGGAGAATCATCGGGCTGCGGCCTTGGCGATACGCACGCCGACCTGGCCGACGGTCAGCGGGTGGTGTGGGCGCTGGGCCGCCAGGTACGACTACGTTGTCGTCGGGATCCTGACTGACTCAGACTGTCTGTCTAGGGCGACTCTACACCGCGTACTCGGGGTACTCGCCCGGGTCTCAGCGAGCTGGAGAGGCGGAAGCAGTTCTCGTATGCCCAGGTACCGCGGAGTCAAACCGTGCGTCGTGGCTCGAAAGCTGATCGAATTTTCTTCGAGGCGTCGGGCTAATCACGACACTTAGGGGCTTCCTCCGCTCGGACTCGCTCTACGGCACTACGTTTACAGTGCGTCCATGACCAGGTCAGTCGTGCGGTCGCTGGGCAAGACCCGGGCGTCGGGACATTGCACTTCTGTGGCCGGCTGGCGTCATGAAGTGAGGGCAATAGTGACACGGGTGTTCTCTGAGTGGCCGTCCCGGTGCGTGGTCCTCCCGGTGCATCCATGAATACCGTTTTCGACGGCGTTGGACCGCAGACCCTCTCATCGGGCTCAGGCTGGCGATGCGGAAGCAGTTCTCGTATGCCCAGGTACCGCGGAGCTAAACCGTGCGTAGTGAATTGAAGCTGATTGAATTCCTTCGGATGGGACCCAAGCGTCAGGACATGTAGGTGGTCGTCTGCCATGAAGTGAGACAAAGTCTCTCGTCCGGGACTGCAATAGACATCCGCGTGCACGGCATCCGCTCCCCAGCGCACTCTCGGCCGCGAGCTCATCGAGCATACCACCCGCCCCACTGCCCGTCAACTCTCGCCGCGAATTCATGCTCCTCGTCCTCCGTACGTCCTTCGGAACAACGTCGATTGCGGGCGGCGACCAGTTGATAACGCGGTAGACGAATTAGGTCAGCAACGCATTTTTTATCATCAAAATAGACCTCACCTCACGTATCCATGAACGCATATTCGCACCAGACGGGAATGCTCCGCGACTCGACAGCGCCGGACGGCAATCTGTCCGGTCTTCGCTGGTCATGCCCCCGTCTAGCCGCACGGCAGCTCGTCTTAGCACGCGTACGCGGTTGTTGATGGCCCGTTCTGTCGCTGGACGACTAGGTGGTTAGCAAATGGCGCTGGGCAAGCCGGTAGATAGAATGACAACTCCCTAGTACTCAGAGTATACAGTAGATACAACTGTGAAGCTACTTACTACAGTTCAATGAATCCAATTGTGTCATTGTGCATTGTCACTTGGGATACTGACAACTGCTTGAATTGAAGTTCAACGGAAAGATAAGTGTCTTGGGAAGTATTCTTGGAGTAGCAACAAGCTGTAATGTGCTTTCAAACGGACATTACATGTGTTACTATACATTAGTACAAGAACGGTACTCTTTTACATGTATCACAAGCTAACATTCCACCTGACCAAGTTATTTAGGTACTGTATGACTTAAGAACTACTCCACGTGGCTTGTCAAGTATTTATATATCTTGCCAAGCCAAGTAGGTTTTTCCTGATGTCCTCGGTGAGCATGCTTTGCATTCATTATTCTAGATTCAAGAACGTTGCCTGACCAGTCTTTAGAATATCTACTACTGGTACAACTGCATGGAACAGGGTTGGGGCTATCTATGTAGATCAGTGTTATGTCATCTGTCGCCCTGTCGCGCTCCGTCGTGCTTTGTATAATTTTTCGTCAAAGTGTAACAACTTCTCACCTGTTTAATGATAACGCGGTTTCAATTCCGATTGATTTGTATTGATTGTAAGAAGTACCACAAGACTCAAATGCTTTTGAAAGCCATGGGTACCCTGATATGTACCTACAAGATCCATGTGTCCTGGCTAGCAAGCAGTGTCATATATGACATGCAAGGTCAGCAAGGCTTAGAATGTCTGCCTGCATCAACATACTGAAAGCACAAAGTCAATCTTATATTTAAGTACTGGCTGTCCTGTCCAAGCACATAAAGCAGAGACTTGTCTTGCCAAGAGTCGTGCTGTCTGCAAGCCATGACGGTCCTAATACACTTGTCAAGACAAGTGAGTTTTTCCTGATGGTTGGCTCTGGGACCTAAGACTTCGTGCTTGTGAGCAATCAAATTAATCGAACGAGCAATAGTTTGTGGGCTTACTTACACTCGTACACCGCGATCTTCCGGCCTTTGCTCCCAATCGTACGTGTTCTCGCCCGCATTGGGGACGCCTGAACGGCACTGTCGAAGCAGGTTGCGGATGTATAGATAGTTCGGGCGTTCATCGAACTTCAGCCTCATGACGTACTCGACGAACACGCAAAATGGAGTAGGGAGCCCCTTGCAAAGCTGCGAAGGCTTGGCTTTGGCTTTGGCTCTTACCAACTGATCATTCCTCTTCGTCTTGGCGGACCCGGGGATGCCTTGCCAAGGCAGCGAGCCGCGAACGAAGAAGAGGAGGATGTACGCCAGCGCGATGAGGTCGTCACGACGCGAGTGCGCGATGCCGTGGTGTATATTGATCGACGAAAAGAGCGGGGTCCCAATAGCCTCGTGTTCATCGTTGTACTTGATGTGCGCACGAGTGACGATGTCGAGGTACGGGACAGCCAAACCCAAGTCGATGAGGTAGAGCAGGCTTGTCTGCCCGCCTACACCGACCAGGAAGTTCGCAGGCTTTAAGTCACGATGCACATAGCCCCTCACGTGAAGGCTTTCGAGCCGGTCGACCTAGACAAATGGATGCAGATTGTCAGTTGAAATCGAATAAGCAAACAGGCGACCTACTGCCTGCAACGCAATCCGCAGTACTGTCCCGAGAGTGAATCGCTTCCCACAAAAGTGGAACAGCATCTCCAATGACGGCCCGAGTAGGTCCATTACGAGGTAATGCACCTCATCGGTCGTACCGAACCCGTGCATCGCGGGAAAGCCTTCTGCGTATTTGAGAGCGTCGTAAACCTCTTCCTCGTTCTCCAATTGGTTGACCCGGAAGTCGCATGGCTCCAGCTTCACCGCAACATCAACATGCTCATAGATGTCGAGTGCTTTGTACACTTGACCTGGATGTCGATGGCGATCAGCACGTAGGCCTGATGCACTAGTTAGTACGCACCGAACGACCCTGCTCCTATCAGTTCCCACAGCAGGTACCGACCCGCAATCTCCATAGGTGCATCGACCTCCGGAATGTCCATGTCGAGCGCCTACCACACTCGATACATATCATTGGCATCGTAATCGCCGCCAGATCAGCGAGTGGTAGCACCTACAAGCAATACAATACAATAACACTATGTACAACAATGTTGACGCTGCTCGCAGTGTCAGCGCCTCACTCATGGAGCAAGAGTTCATGTGGGCTTACAAAACAATGGTAGCGGACGCCAGGACCACTGACAACATGATGAGGGTCGGGGACAAGGCAACACATCAGTCGCCGCTCGCAAATGAACGTGATCATGTGACGTGCTGGACTTCTCGTTATCGTTCTCGACCTCGCCAGGGAGCTCGAAGTCGTCATCCTCAGCATCGTTGGGGCCGAAGATCGCGTCCTCATGGGGTACGAGTAGCGCATTCTTTGGTGTAAAGCCACGCAGCGAGATAGGATTGATGAGAGGGTCGAAATAGAACGCGGGCAGGTCAGGGTCATCAGTGCGAATGTAGACGTTCTTCGGTGTGTGATACAGAGATATGTGGACGGAACGAGGGAGGGAGTTATACAGATGGGGGAAAGCGACCTTGTACTCAGTCCGGATTTGCTGTCGAATGATGACTTTGTTGATGTCGTTGAACTCGTTCCAGTCCTCATTGAAGCTGTCCATGTCTCTATACAGAGGCTCGAATTTCGGGCCGCCGGGAATCGCCATGTTGAGCGCTTTCGCAGTGAAAACCGACTTCTTGTCGAACAGGTAGCTCGAGTTGCCGTCTGTGTGATCCGACAAGAGTGTCCGACCGAGACGGTACAAGTTCGCCATGGCAGGCGCGCCGCGAGGACAAACAGCTGGTGACTCAAGTTCCATGGCCAAAGCCGGTAGCAAAGCCGGACTGGCGAAATTCGTTCGGGAGGACGTGAGCAGCACCGTCTCGTCTTCGAACGGGCAACCATGCTCACCTGACAGTAGCATCCCGGGCACCCAACCCGAGCCAACCACCATCCGCCCACGCACCCGCCCTCTCGCCCACGCCGCTCGCCGGACGGCGATTCGTCGTGCCTTCATCGGTCGAGGATGCCAGCCGGGTCGACCAGCAAACCACGAGAGGTGGTGAGTCCGGGAAGACGGGAGAAACGCACCGGATGCCGGCGTGGATCGAGGGCGGCGACCGTCGAGTCTGGAGCAGACCGGATGGGACACTTCGGACAGCTCCATCGGGAAGATAGAGAGCGGGAGACGAGTGATGAGCTCGGCAGGATGGGGAGTGACCGGGGTGTGGTCGAGGTCAGTACCGGGCGGGAGGAGATCCACGGGTGGAGGGATGCCGTTCGAGGCACATTTCGAGGGTGCCCGGATGCAAGTCGTCCTTGCCCATGTGGACCACGAGAGGACGCGATACACCGAGCTGCGAATGCAGGTGAGCAATACTGCTATGAACTGACTGAACAGGAAACGGGAGATATACTCACCTCCGAGCCTGTTACTTTCTCCCTCCCAAAATGTTGCGGCTGCAATTGCTAGCCGCTCTCGCACCGCGGCGGGTCGCTGAGCACGTCTGCGATTGAGCGTGCGCCGGGCGCGGTTGAGCGTGCGTAGGGCGCGGTTGAGCGTACGTAGGGCGCGGTTGAGCGTGCGCCGGGCACGGTCTGCGTCGTTCGCGGATAGCGGCGACAAAGGGATGCGAGGACGCACACGAGGCAACGGGATCACGTTGCAGACGAGGACGTTTGAGGTAGCAGCGGAGGCGATGATCTCAAAGCAGGAGGTGGTTATGGTGGATGCAGAGATCGCGTCCCAGGTCGAGTTATGCACCGGAATCTGCGCGCCGCCCAGCGACCCTCCTGGGCTCGTCCTTCCTAAATTTTTGTTCGTATCTTGGAGCTGCTTTTGAGTTACGCATCATGTTGAAGAGACAAGGCAATACAGCGGGGATGATGCTGAGGGTGGTGGTGGATGTGAGAGTAGGAAGAGGGCGGCAAAGTCACCGCCGCCACTGTGAGGAAATGGACTAGTAGTGCCAGCCGATGAGAGTCACTGTTAGTCGTTGGGCAGATAGCAATGCATACGAGCACATTTCATTCCACATTACTAGTACATCAGGTCATTGTGATATTCATGATACGAGACAGCACGGTACGAGGCGGCGTGATACAAGTACATCGAGGAGACTCGGACGAGGCCAGACAACTACAAGGCAACACAGCAGCAGCACGATGGTAACACAAAGACATTAGATGAAGTCGAGGAGGTCTTCGAAAGTGAGCTCCTCGTCCTCATTATAGGCCATTTCAGCGCGAGCCTGCCTCACCAGCATTTCCTGTATAAACTCGAAACCCTGGAGGTGATCAGTAAACGACAAGCGGCTTTGCCGGATGAGGTACTTCAGCACTTGCAATGCTTCCATAAGATCTGGGCTGAGGCGGCTGCGCCGGGCTGTGTCCGTCTGCCCTGCAGAAGAGAATACTCGCTCGCAGGGAACCGATGTTGCCTGCGTCGGAAGATAGTCCAACGCGATAGCAAAGATTGTAGGCCACTGCGTCTGTGCCGCAGGCAGCTGAGAGGGCACAATGAGTACAAAGTATCATAGCCAGGCAATCATTCACTTACACTCCAGTACGCGAGGACGTCGGATAGCTCATTCCCCATCCCTCTTTCGAGCCAAGAGTGGTATTCGGTCTCGACAGTCGCGTCAAGGGCGCTTTGAGCAGGGGCCGCTGGCTCGTCGTCGCCCAGGTTACCAACGAAAATTTGATCAGCTGCCTCGTACATGCTGCGCAACGCCTGAGGCCTTTGCGGCTGCGAAGGTCCTGCTCGACGTGCAGGCGGTCGCCGAGCCGCGTAAACCCGCATCTGCACCGCAAATGTCGCATTAGTAGCCACACTACATAGAATAGTGGTCTACTTACTTTACTCTTGACGATGTCGATGGCACGCTGGTAGTAGCGCTGCTCCCAGTGGTCGTGCATGTGATCCATCTTGTATTTCGGATGTACGACTAGAAAGTGGATTAGCAGGTTAGTCAATAAGGTCGGAATGTACCTACACATGCATAGGATGTAGCTGTCGGTCAGGTCCATGTATTTGTAGTACTTGATCGCGACATCCAAACCGGCTTGGATGACACCTTGAAGATGCGGCCTACGCTCCGCGAGCCTCTCCATGTTCGTCAAATAGAGTTCGTACCGCGGTATGACATCGGCGAGCAGCGGCTGCCGCTCTCCAGCCAGCACCATCTGGATATTATGACCAGCCTGCATAGGGTTGTCAATCGCGCTCATGTGGGTTGGAGGAATGACCTACCATGAGCACAAGGCCCGTCTCCGTCAGCACGTCATTCTCGGTGGTCGTCAGAGGTGGGTACGACCTCGCGAACTCCGGGTTTTGCTCCAAGAACACCTTGTATACCTATGTCATATAAGATCAGTATCTGTCGTCAGTGCGCAGAGATAACTCACCTCTTGCATCGTCAAAAACCGCATGATCATAACGTACGTGCTATCCCAGCGGATCCGCATGTCGGCCACCAAGATCATGTCCTCTTTGAAGATGTCGATCTTTGGGATGCCCGCCACAAGCGCCGCGTTCTTGACCATAGCAGCAGCATTATGAATCGCAATCGAGGTCGCCCAAGAGTCGCGGCACTTAGGAGACGCACGAACGGCAACACATATCTCCCTTGTCTTGGAAACAACTGAGATCTTCACGGCGTCGCCGCCGCGAGTGGCCGAGGATTCGGAGCCATTGTCGCTAGGGGGCTGGATGCCCATGTAAGTTATCATTGTCTGCGAGGTTCGGTTGACTCCATGGCCCAAGCAATGTATCTGGTTGTTACTCGGGTCGAAGTCACGACGAGCGTTCGGGTCCTCGTCGAACTTCTTCTTCAGCTCTTCCATCATCTTTGCATTGCTTGTCGCGGAGTCCATCATGAATCGTCCGACCTAATATGATCAGTTACTAGATTACTTCGAATAAGGCAGATGTGGTTACCTTAGATACAACACCGGCGCGCTCCAGAACGAAGTGGACGGCATTCGCGAGGTTTACGCCTACGTGATAAAATTAGAAAGTAACTAGGTGTTCACGTTCGGACTTACCAGTATGGCTCCCTTCGAGCCTCCTAAAACCGACAACTGCTGACTTCATCACAAGATCCGTAGGCAGCACTCCTTTTGCAATCCAATGGCCCGTCACACCGACATAAGCGCGTCGAGCTGGTAGGGCGCACTGTCAGTGATGTACTCGCTTGATTGCTGTGCGTGCTCACCTTGAGTATCCCAACCATCGGATGTCAGAGATACCTGACCGCGCGAGTGCTATCAGGAGGGTGAGCAGTGCCTTGTTCATTCATCGTGTGATACCTACCGTGAGCTGAATCTTGAGTTGATCAAATGTGCGCGTGAATTGCGCCATAATCAACGAGCGCATATGGTTGCGCTTCGGAATGTCCTCGTCGGCAAGATTGGGATTGAGCAGACGTAAGAGGTATCGGAATTCAGGTTTCTCGACCACCGAGATCGCCTGATGTTGACGTCAATAACTGCTTCACATAACGAGAGAAATCGTACTGACCTGGTCGTCCACGACCACCCAGTTCACGAGTCGCCTGTGGAACTCCTCGCGAGAATACTCCACCACCGGATAATTCTGGTCGATATCCGCAACTTCTTGCGCTGCCTTCACTTGGTCCTTGTAGCTGGGCAGCATGTTCACCCCGATCGCAGCCAAGCCGGCGTACTCGTAGCGGTGGTAGGCATCGAGATGGGATCGGAGCGGACTGTTACTCGTCTTCTCAGCATAGATGTAGTTGTGGCACGTCCATATCGACTGGATGTCGACGCCCTTCTCCGCCGCCTCGATGACTGCCTTCTGATGCGCTTTTCTGTCGCTGAAGTTAGCAGGACGACTGTATACTAGAGCGCATCACTTACTCGCAGACGATGCAGATGACGGCGGGCTTTGGCGGTCCGTTATCTGAGATAGTGGGAGTGACGAGTCTGAAGTAGAAGTTGATATCAGGTACGCTCCCCCTGCTAGCCTCAGAGCGTGTCATGGCTGGACCGGGCTGTAGTCCCGTTCGCCACTGCATGATCTGCGCCGATAGTGCGGAGGGCGGTTGGAGTCGGGTTTCTGGTGAGCGAACAGGCGGTGCGGCCTGGTCGCTAGTCAACGTTATCAGAGGATGTTGCTGGGAAGTCGCAACGACCTGAGCCGGGGCGGCTCTAGCTTCGTCGTCCGAGCTACCCGATACATTGTCGAGGTCGAAAGGTTCGGGCTCGGGAACTGCAGCCCGCGCAGGGTCCGGGTCACCCCTGCCACGACCACCACGACCGCGACCACCACGACCGCCGCGAGGACGAGCTGGGTCGCCTCTCGGTGGCATTCCTAGCAGTAGACAGGAGCAGATGAGATGTGACTTGAGGTGAGGACACGGAGAGATCTCCTTCAGGTTTTATAGCTGAGGACTGTCCGCCTATACCAGGTCGTGTCCGTGGTCAAGACTTCGACATTACCGTCGGAAGTCGGCTCACCGTGCGCTCGATACTTGTCCTGCAGATCAACCAAAGTTGTCGAAAGCTGAGCTCATCGTGCGTTCGATAATCGTCGCTCCTGCAGATCATCCAAAGGTTTCAGAAGCTGAGCTTACTGCGCATTACTTCGATACCGGAGGCTGAGCTCACCGTGCGTTCCATAACCCTCCCGCAGATCATCCAAGAGTGCAATGCAACAGCTAAACATAGGCACTTGAATGTACGGCGCAGTCGGGATGCATCCTCGTTCATTCTCTGTCAGCAATACCAGATTCGTGGGTGAACCATACTCGCCTGCAGTTCTGGATTCGTTATGTTCATCTTGCAGTCTGGTATTCGGGGAATGGCCTCCGTTGTCCTATCGCGTCCCATCAGCAGTTGTGCATAGCGAGTTTTTACTCACGCAAGAGTAAGCAAGGTCACATTGGAGTCCGGGGCAGCATTGTCCTTCTGGCCAAGGGGCACTGGTCCTTCGCAATGACGAGGTCGCGGAACTGGGGACAGGAAACGTAGGGTTCAGAAAGCCTCATTGAGCGTCCGGTCGTCTGTGCGCGCATCAGCGCCGAATGTCTTCCTCGCCAGAAGAGTACAGGCACAGGACGACAGGTCGACACGCCCAGGCAGTGCGTCAACTGTCCGACGATTCTCGACAACATGGCCTTGCACTCACCGTCATCGACCACAGCCTGTCTGTCCGCCTCGCCCTCTCACCGTCCTCCACTTCGATACCAGCGACCTCACATACACAATAACCCGACAAACGCACCCCGGGAGCCAACCATTGCTTCGACATCGCTAGGTTCAGGGAGAGCAAACAGAGAGGAGCGGCGCAGCATCAAGCGTCGAGTGTACAAGGAGCTATGCCGCAAGGTGGGCCGCAGAGACTGAGAGATGGACGCACGCCGGCGTTTGCGAGGGCTGATTACATAAGGTCCACGCACCCCAAGTTCTACGAACTGAGTCCGGTCTCTACTCCGTTTGCGATGCCTAAGTCCTCAGTGTCACCTAAGTTCGACCTGGGACGCGATCTCTGCATCCACCATGGCCACCTCCTGACTAGATTACAGTGCCACCTCCGCTGCTACCTCAAACGTCCTCGTCCATAACGTGATACCATTGCCTCGTCTGCATCCTCGCATCCCTTCGCCGCTGCTATCTATGAACGACGCAGACCGCGCCCGGCGCGCGCTCCACCGCAGACGTGCTCGGCGACCCGCCGCCGCGTGAGAGCGGCTAGCAAGTGCAGCCGCAACATTTTGGGAGGGAGAGAGTAACATGGGCACTGACTCGGTGAGTATCTGACCATTTTTACGCTGACATCTCCCAGTCCACACCCGCTTCCGATAGATACCAGTCGCCCGACGGAAAGTCGCTTTCTGACACCCCGCACGTCAACGGATCGCCGTAACCTATTGGGACCTGACGCTGCCCATCATAGTGAACCTGTACCGCTGGGTCACACTCCTGTCGGACCACATGAACAGCAACTCGAGTACAATGTCGCTATCCTGCATCTGTAAAAAGCCCTCCCTCGTTCCGTCCGCATATCTCTGCACCACACCCCGAAGATCGTCTACATTTGCACCGATGACCCTGACCTTCCCGTGTTCTACTTCGACCCTCTCATCAGTCCTATCTCGTTGCGCAGCTTCACACCGAAGAACGCGCCATTTGTACTCCATGAGGACGCGATCTTCGGCCCGAATGACGCTGAGGACGACGACTTTGAGCTCGCTGACGAGGTCGAGCCTTTCCCCGAGGACAAGCCGCTGGAGAGCGATCTCACGGCGGATGCTATCGCGCTCTGGTGGGCGCCCGATCCGTACAGCCGCCGCTCAGGGCGTATGCGCCGAGCGCAGGATATCCCGCTCGTGAAGGACTGGTATCTCGAGCACTGCCCTCCTAACCAGGCAGTCAAGGTTCGCGTATTGTATCAAATTCTACTCAAGTGCTACGTCTTGAACGAACTCAAGACACGCCCGGAGAAGGCCATGTTGAAGAAGAACCTGTTCAAGCAGCTCAAGGCGACCAAGTTCTTCCAAACCACACGGTTGGACTGTCGAGGCGGGTCTGCAGGTCTGCAGGCAGGGTTACAACATGCTCAACCTGCTCATCCACCGGAAGGTACGTTGTCTCGGGAAGTGTGGTCAACGTGGTCACTGACGTACTTTACCAGAACCTGAACTGCCTCCACCTCGACTACAACATGATCTTGAAGCCAGTGAAATCGCTCACGACCAAGGAACGTAACGAGTCGCAATTCGGAAGCGCCTTCCATCTGCCTGTGGGATCCTTCGCCTCACGAAGTTGACGGTCAATGTGCACGTCCAATGGCATCTCCGCAATGTTGATGCGTTCCAGCTCGCAGACTTGGTACCCCGCACGTCAATGGATTGTCGTACAGCAGACACGTTTGGGTCAGCTGGCCCAGTGGAGAACTACCGAAGAAGTAGCAGCATTCGTCCGTTTTTCCCGTTCTCGCGTGAAAAAAGGATTTGCTATGCACGACTGCTGATGGGACACGATAGGACAACGGAGCCATTCCCCGAATACCGGAGCACAAAGATGAACATTACGAATGCAGACCTGCAGGCGAGTACAGTTCACCCGTGGATCTACTAATTATAACAGAATGCACGAGGACGCGTGCCGACTTCGCCGCATATTCAAGTGTCTATTTCCAAGCTGTTACGCTGCATTCGTGGATGATCTGCAGGAGGGTCATCTGCAGGAGGGTCATGGAACGCACGGTGAGCTCAGCTTCCGGTATCAAAGGAATCACAGCAGGCTCAGCCGTCAATATCTTTGGTTGATCTGCAGAAGGATTATCAAATGTACGGTGAGCACTTTGGATGGTAGTGTCGAAGTTTTGACCGCGGACACGGCCTAGTATATGAGGACAGTCTTCAGCCATAACCTGGGAGAGACTCAGCTGCCTCTCCGCGTCCTCAACACAAGTCGCATCCCATCCGCCCTGCATGCTACAAGTGTTCCCAGTCAGAGGCAACCCAACTCATCCTCGCGGTGGTCGCGGTCGTGGCAGGGGTGACCCGGGCCCTGCGCTGGCTGCAGTTCCCGATGCCGAGGATACGGACTCGGACGAAGCTGTCGCTGCGACGCCCCAGCAACAACCTCTGGCGACGTTGACTAGCGACCAGGCCGCACCGCCTGTTTGCTCACCGGAAACCCAGATCCGACCGCCCTCCGCACTGTCGGCACATATCATGCAGTTGCGGGCGGACTACAGGGTGGTCCAGCCATGATGCAGCCTGCGGTGATCATGGGGAACGTACCTGACATCAATTTCTATTTCAGGTCTGTCACCGTCATTTCCGCTGACATCGTACCACCGAAGCCCAACATCATCTGCATCGTCTGCGAGTAAGTGATGCGCTTTAGTATATAGTCGTCCTGCTAACTTCAGCAACAGGAAGTGGCATCAGAAGGCAATCACCAAGGTGGCGAAGAAGGGTGTCGAGATCAAGTCAATCTGGACTTGCCACAATTACATCTACGCTCTGCAGACAGGTAACAGTATCTTTCGATCTCACCTCGATGCCTACCACCGCGACGAGTACAACCGCTTGGCTGCGGCCGGGCGCTGGGTGAACATGCTGCCCAGCTACAAGAACGGAGTCACAGCAGTTCAAGAAGCTGCGGATATCGACCAGAATCATCCAGTGGCGGAGTATCCTCGCGAGGAGTTCCACAGGCAGCTCGTGGACTGGGGTGTCGCGCACGACCAGGTAAATACGATTTCTTTCGTTATGTGAAGCAGTTGTTGACGTCAACATCAGGCGATCTCAGTGGTCGAGAAACCTGAATTTCGAGACCTCTTACATTTGCTCAATCTCGACGTCGCCGACGAGGACATTCCGAAGCGCAACCAGACGCGCTCGCTGATTCTGGCGCAAATCGGCGGCACATTCGATCAGCTCAAGAAACAGCTTAGGGTAGGTGCATCACGATGTTTGAATAACTCCTCATTGCTTACTCCTGATAGCGCTCGCGTGGTCAGATATCCTTCACCTTTGATGACAGGAATGCACAGGGTAAGCATGCGCGACGGTTCGAGCGACATTACTGACAGTGTGCACCCTACAGGCCGACGCGCTTACGTCGGCGTGACCGGCCATTGGATTGCCAAAGGAGCATTCCCTACGGATGTCGTGCTAGAGTCAGCAGTCGTCGGTATCAGGAGGCTCGAGGGAGCCGTACTGGTAAGTCCGAACGTAAACATCTAGTTATGTTCTAACTATATCACCTAGGCGTAAACCTCGCAAATGCCGTCCACTTCGTTCTGGAGCGCGCCGGTATCTTATCCAAGGTGACCGCATCTGTCTCATTCGAAGTAATCTAGTAACTGATCGGATAAGGTCGGACGATTCATGATGGAGTATGACCAACGCAATGACGAGATGGTGGAAGAGCTGAAGAAGAAGTTCGATGAGGACCCGATCGCTCGTCGTGACTTCCATCCAAACAAGGACCAGATGTATTGCCTGCGTGACGGAGTGATAAGCTCATCCCAGAACATGATCACCTACCTGGGCATCCAGCCTCCTGGCGACGATGGCTCCGAATCCTCAGCCACTCGCGGCGGCGACGCCGTGAAGACTTCGGCCATTTCGAAGACGAGGGCGATCTGTGTTGCTATCAGTGCGTCTCCTAAGTGCCGCGACTCTTGGGCAACCTCGATTGCGGTTCACAATGCCGCCGCAATCGTCGAGAATGCGGGTCTTGGGGTGGACATCCCGAAGACCGGCATCTTCCACGAGGACAAGATCTTGGCGGTCGACAGGCGGAACCGCTGGGACAGTACCTATAATATGATCATCCGGTTTTGGCTATGCAAGAGGTGAGTCTTCTTTGCTCACTGACGAAAGATACTGATGTTGTACGATCTAGGTATACAAGATATTCTTGGAGAAAAACCCGGAGTTCGCGAGGTCGTACCCGGCTTTGACGACCACCGAAATTGACGCGCTGACAGAGACGGGCCTCGTGCTCATGGTAGGTCGTTTTTCCAACACATATAAGCGCGGTTGATAACCGTACGCAGGCTGGTCATACCATGCAGATGCTGTTGGCTGAAGGATTGCAGCCGCTGCTCGCTGATGCCATCCCGCTGTACGAGATCTATATGACGAACATGGAGAAGCTTGCAGCGGCGAGGCCACATCTTCAAGGCATCATCAAGGCGGGGATGGATATCGCGATTAAGTACCACAACCACAGGGATCTAACCGACAGCTGCATCCTTTCCATGTGTAAGTACATTTTCTCCTTGTGCACCAGCCTACTAAGCCATTTTGCAGTTGTACATCCCAAACAGAAGCTCGACCACGTCCGGAAGCACTGGGACAGGCACTACTACTAACACGCCGTCGACATTGTCAAGCATAAAGTAAGTAAAATGCTGTTCTGTCCAGTGTACCTACTAATGGGTTATTTACGGTACAGATGAGAGATTATGCGGCTCGGCAACTCTCTGTGCGCCATTTACCCGGCATGTACGAAACAGCCGATCAAATCTTCGTCGGTCACCTGGACGAGCCAGTGGGTCCTGTTAGCAACACCCTCGACGCGATTGTCGAGGCCGAATACCACTTTTGGCTCGAAAGAGGGACAGAGACGGAGCTCTCCGACGCTCTGGCATACTGGAGTGTAAGTTAACATTAGCTCTGATATTCCGCGGACTCAGTGCACTTTCAGCTGCCTACCGTGCAAACTCAGTGGCCGACCGTCTTCCTGATCGCTCTAGACTACCTTCCAACCCAGGCGACGTCGCTTTCGTGCGGGCGAGTCTTCTCTGCCAGGCAGACAGACGCGGTTCGGTGCACCCTCAGCGCAGGCATCGTGGAGGCTCTGCACATGCTCAAGTATCTCATTTGACAGAGTCGTCTGTCGTTTACGGACCACCTGAAGAGCTTCGAGTTCGTGCAGGAGATGCTGGTGAAGCAAGCTCGCAACAAGTTAGGCTATGGCGCCAACAAGGAGCTCACTTTCAACGACCTCCTTGACCTCATCTAATGTCTTCGTGTTACCATCGTGCTGCTGCTGTGTCGCCTCGTAGTTGTCTGGCCTCGTCCGAGTCTCCTCGATGTACTTGTATCACGCCGCCTCGTACCGCGCTGTCTCGTATCATGAATATCACAATGACCTGATGTACTAGTAATGTGGAATGAAATGTGCTCGTATGCATTGCTATCTGCCCAACGACTGAGCCCATTCAGTGGAAAACCTCGCTGTTAACGGTACAGCCGGAGTGCATTTTGACCGTTGCAAACGGTAGAGCCGCCTCCGGCCGGAGTAGTCCGGGTCTACTGTTAGCAACAATGCACCGCTTGCAACAGGCCGGCCGGGCTTTTGGCTGAGGCAATGTACCTGTTGTAAACAGTCCGGTCGTAGAGGCAACAGTCCGGCCGGACCCATACAGCATCACTGCAAACAGGCCGGGTGGAGGGCAGGGTTAGCACACACAACGGAGCGGCCGGCCGGTCCACGTTGCAAACAGAGTGGCCGGACTCAGGCCCCACCACTTCAAATGTTCCGGCCGGGATAAAATCCTTTCATTGCAAGCGGACCGGCCGGAGTAAAATCTATCTGGTCCAGGATGGGTTCTCCAGCCTAAACAAACTGACTCCACAAACAGGCCGGCCAGGCAGGAGTTGTTCTGCTTCAAACGGTCCGGCCAGTCACAGTCCCCTGGGGGCTATTGAAATACTATATGTGGTATTATGCACCTATGGGGTATACCATCATTAGTAGATCACAGCATAATTTTCCCATGACTTAGGGATGCCTAGTGAAGCTGCAAAACACAAAAGAGCCCCACTGGCTGGCCAAATCAACTGGCCAGAGATTTCACTCACCCAGGTTTTGGCTTTACTGGCCATAAAATTAGCCAGGTTGTCCCTACAGGGCCAAATCAATAGGCCGGACATTTCAAACCATTGGCCGGGCATTTTAGTTCATTGGCCGAAGCTTTCAATTCACTGGCCGAAGCTTTTACTTCATTGGCCGAAGCTTTTACTTCATTGGCCGAAGCTTTCCTTCACCGCCGAAGCTTTGGATTGACCGGCCGGCTGAAGCTTCTACTTCACCGGCCGGCAAAAACAGCCGGTGCTCGGCAAAACTGGCCGGCCGGTGCGCAAAAATGGCCGGCCGGCAGGCAAAACCGGCCGGGCTGTTGAATTACTATATGTGGAAATGTGGTATTGTCTGGAAGCCCTTCATTCATAGAGTCTAGTATTGATTTCCTAGTGTCCAAAGGTACATAGTTAGGCCAGGATATGCGAGACAAGATTTACTCACAGGCTTCTTTGCAAAACATGTTATTCAACTGCTGAAGCCAATATTCTTTGCCCACACTTTTTGACTATCTAGAATGTGTTATCACAATGCATAGAGTAGATCCCCAAAAGGAATAGTCTTATTCTTTGAAGCTGAATGCAGAACATGAGATAAGGGGTAAGGTATAGTATACATGTCAAACAATGTTGACTTCCTGCAGCCAATCTACATTCCAAACACAGTTTCACAATCTAGAATGGTTCATTTACACACAAGGAGTGAGTCGTCCAAAGGAATAGTCTTATTCACATGAGCTGAATGTGGTACAGAGTTAAGGGGATCATGCACAGGCCGGACCATCTCCTATGAGGATTGGCCGGCCGGACCATTACCAACAGTGGGTAGATGTTTCTGTGCCATTCTTGATTGCCAAACCTTGTGGGCAAAGCATATTGGCTTCAGGATGTGAACACAGTATAACATGTATACCCATATACCCACCCTCACCTTAACTCTGTGCTGCCTTCAGCTTGTGTGAATAAGACTATTCCTTTGGAGGACTGATTCCTTGTGGATCAATGAACTATTCTAGATGGTAAAACACTGTTTGGAAAGAACATTAGCTGCAGGAAGTCAACATGTATACCATACCTGTATACCCCTTATTTGTTGTCCTGCATTCAGCTTCAAAGAATAAGACTATTACTTTTGGGGATCTACTCTATGCATTGTGATAACACATTCTAGATTGTCAAACAGTGTGGGCAAAGAATATTGGCTTCAGGAATTGAATAACATGTTTTGCAAAGAAGCCTGTGAGTAGTAAATCTTGTCTTGCATATCCTGGCCTAACTATGTGTTCTTGGAAACTAGGAAATTGATACTAGACTCTGTGAATGAAGGGCTCCCAGACAATACCACATTTCCACATATAGTAATTCAATAGCCCGGCTGTTTTTGCGCACCGGCCGGCTGTTTTCGCCGGCCGGTGAAGTTGAAGCTTCGGCCGGTCAATCCAAAGCTTCGGCCGGTGATGAAAAGCTTCGGCCAATGAAGTGAAAGCTTCGGCCAGTGATAAAAATCTTCGGCCAGTGAGAAAAAGCTTCGGCCAGTGAGAAAAAGCTTCGGCCAATGAAGGAAAAGCTTCGGTCAATGAATAAAAAGCTTCGGCCAATGAATTAAAAGCTTCGGCCAATGAACTAAAATGCCCGGCCGATGTTTTGAGATGTCCGGCCATTTAATTTGGCTGGTGGCAGCTTCACTAAGCCCCTTTAAAATGTGGGAACACTATGTTGGGCTCCATTAGTGATGGTCTTACATATACAATCATTCAAATCACACTCTGTATCATAATACAATAGGCCGAAGGTTTTTGAATGCTCTCGGCCAGTGTTTGCATGGCTGGCCAGTGAGCTAACAGCTCAGGCAATGTGATAGGGCATGCACTGTGGACATATAATACATGCTACTAGTAGGCTGTTCTAAGGGAGTATGGTCTATTGTTGACTGGCCCAGCCAATACTGGGTCACAATACTGTTGCCCGGCCGGACCGTTACCAATGGATGGTGCCACTGCCCGGCCGGACCATTACCAGTGTGGAGTGCTAGATTATATGGCCTGGCTAGCCTGCTATCAATGTGGAAAAATGGTCTGGCCGCTCCGTTGCCAGCTAGAGATGATGCAACCCGGCCGGTCTGTTATTAGCCAGGGAGCATATGCTCCGGCTGGCCCATTGCAACTGCTGAATTATGCACTCCGGCCGGCCCGTTACAAATGAAGGATCCCATTGCCCGGCCGGTTCGTTACCATAGGAGAAAGAGTATCCCGGTTGATCTGTTATAATTAAAACCCCTTATTGCCCGGCCGGTCCGTTGCCAGCAAGACACTAAATGGCCCCCTGTTCAGACAGAACATAGGTGCGCTAGGGATACACCGGCCGGACCGTTTGAACTGGTTTGAGATATGCTCGGCCGGCTTGTTAGAAACCAGTCCGGCCGGCCTGTTTGCAACGAGGAAATCACAGCTCCGGCCGGAGGCGGCTTTACCGTTTGCAATGGTCGAAATGCACTCCGGCTGTACCGTTAGTATCGAGTAGGTACCACTGAATAATGTGAACGACTAACAGTGACTCTCATCGGCTGGCACTACTAGTCCATTTCCTCACAGTGGCGGCGGTGACTTTGCCGCCCTCTTCCTACTCTCACATCCACCACCACCCTCAGCATCATCCCCGCTGTATTGCCTTGTCTCTTCAACATGATGCGTAACTCAAAAGCAGCTCCAAGATACGAACAAAAATTTAGGAAGGACGAGCCCAGGAGGGTCGCTGGGCGGCGCGCAGATTCCGGTGCATAACTCGACCTGGGATGCGATCTCTGCATCCACCATAACCACCTCCTGCTTTGAGATCATCGCCTCCGCTGCTACCTCAAACGTCCTCGTCTGCAACGTGATCCCGTTGCCTCGTGTGCGTCCTCGCATCCCTTTGTCGCCGCTATCCGCGAACGACGCAGACCGTGCCCGGCGCACGCTCAACCGCGCCCTACGTACGCTCAACCGCGCCCTACGCACGCTCAACCGCGCCCGGCGCACGCTCAATCGCAGACGTGCTCAGCGACCCGCCGCGGTGCGAGAGCGGCTAGCAATTGCAGCCGCAACATTTTGGGAGGGAGAAAGTAACAGGCTCGGAGGTGAGTATATCTCCCGTTTCCTGTTCAGTCAGTTCATAGCAGTATTGCTCACCTGCATTCGCAGCTCGGTGTATCGCGTCCTCTCGTGGTCCACATGGGCAAGGACGACTTGCATCCGGGCACCCTCGAAATGTGCCTCGAACGGCATCCCTCCACCCGTGGATCTCCTCCCGCCCGGTACTGACCTCGACCACACCCCGGTCACTCCCCATCCTGCCGAGCTCATCACTCGTCTCCCGCTCTCTATCTTCCCGATGGAGCTGTCCGAAGTGTCCCATCCGGTCTGCTCCAGACTCGACGGTCGCCGCCCTCGATCCACGCCGGCATCCGGTGCGTTTCTCCCGTCTTCCCGGACTCACCACCTCTCGTGGTTTGCTGGTCGACCCGGCTGGCATCCTCGACCGATGAAGGCACGACGAATCGCCGTCCGGCGAGCGGCGTGGGCGAGAGGGCGGGTGCGTGGGCGGATGGTGGTTGGCTCGGGTTGGGTGCCCGGGATGCTACTGTCAGGTGAGCATGGTTGCCCGTTCGAAGACGAGACGGTGCTGCTCACGTCCTCCCGAACGAATTTCGCCAGTCCGGCTTTGCTACCGGCTTTGGCCATGGAACTTGAGTCACCAGCTGTTTGTCCTCGCGGCGCGCCTGCCATGGCGAACTTGTACCGTCTCGGTCGGACACTCTTGTCGGATCACACAGACGGCAACTCGAGCTACCTGTTCGACAAGAAGTCGGTTTTCACTGCGAAAGCGCTCAACATGGCGATTCCCGGCGGCCCGAAATTCGAGCCTCTGTATAGAGACATGGACAGCTTCAATGAGGACTGGAACGAGTTCAACGACATCAACAAAGTCATCATTCGACAGCAAATCCGGACTGAGTACAAGGTCGCTTTCCCCATCTGTATAACTCCCTCCCTCGTTCCGTCCACATATCTCTGTATCACACACCGAAGAACGTCTACATTCGCACTGATGACCCTGACCTGCCCGCGTTCTATTTCGACCCTCTCATCAATCCTATCTCGCTGCGTGGCTTTACACCAAAGAATGCGCCACTCGTTCCCCATGAGGACGCGATCTTCGGCCCCAACGATGCTGAGGATGACGACTTCGAGCTCCCTGACGAGGTCGAGCCTTTCCTCGAGGACAAGCCGCTGGAGAGTGATCTCACGGCGGATGCTATCGCGCTCTGGTGGGCGCCCGATCCGTACAGTCGCCGCTCAGGGCGTAT